GGGAGAGAGAGAGAGAGAGATTCCAAGCCTAAGAAACAGGAATCATGCATAAGATATGCCAAGAAACACCACTCATGAAAAAACCCTATGCAATTTCGCTTAAGAATCCTATGGATGTAGAAAAAAAAAGCAAGATGTGTGCCCTCACAGAAACAAACTATCCAAGAAGACCAAGCATATTAGGATAAACCACACACATTTTTTGCAAATATCAATTGGTAACTGACCCCAAATCTTTTCATTAATATAGATCAATGATCTCAATTCTATCCATTAAGCATACTCTGTTGGCTGAACAAGAGCAGGATCCTCAGTTCATTTTTTTTCTAAACCTTATTCATCTCCTTCCTATTCAAGATAAACCATTAAAGATGCAATAAGGACATTCATTACTCCAGGAGAACACTTTCTTTGTCCTGCTTATTGTTGTATCAAGACTCAAAAATTATATATAGTTCTTATAGTATCCAAATACTAGACCATTTGACCACCTGGTGCATATTTCTTAGAAGTGCTCAATTAAAAGCACTTCTAATGAAAGATCCAGAAAGATTCAGCTGCAAGACAATATGAAAGTTAGAACCATATCCAGTCAGAAATCTCGTGTGGATGTGGGAGACTCACTGAACTAGACATGCTGTCCACCAGATAGTCATCATTCTGGTAAAAGTTATCAATAAAACATCGAATAAACAAGTAAATCCACCAAAGGAATTCAATCAGCATGGCAAACAAATATCTGAGGCAGTTTCCTCTGTTCCTTTCAAAACTAGAATTTCATAATGTTTCATCCGTACATGGAATGATGAGGAGTAGATCAAATGCTACCAGTGGAACTGTCAAAAGATATCTCCACTTTGCAAACATTTGATAGATCTAGCAAAGTCACAGAAGGCTCCAGAAGATCCCTCTCCTCATTCTACTTTTCCTTTTATGTGATTACATTAACGAGCATTTATAGGGACCACGAGGGCGTGGATTGGAGAGTTGGCTTCCATAATTTGTTTTTAACTATGGATGATTCTTTTCCCGATCGGACATCTCTTAACCTCTGCTTTTTGTATTTGTTGGGATCCAAAGATGTTGTCTTGACATCTCTTAACCTCTGCTATTTGTTATTGATTATTTGTATTCTATTTTATTAATGAAATTTTTCGTTAGAGAGAGATATGCAAAACCTAAGAAAAGGAAACCCTGCATAAGATACGAGAAGGAGACATCACTTATAAAAATCCCTAAGCAGCCTTTCAGAAGAACCCTATGGATGTTAAAAAAAAGCAAGATGTCTGCCCTTTGAGAATGATTCTTTTCCCAATCAAACCAAGAATATTAAGACAAACTACAAACATTTTTTTTCAATTGAACAAATATCAATTGGTCAATGACCCCATATCTTTTTTCTAATACAAGTCGACCTCAATTCTGCCCTTAAGCATAATCTGCTAGCTGAACAAGAACAAGATCATCAATTCATCCCCCCACCTTAAACCTTTTCATCTACTTCCTAATAAAGATAAACCATCAAAGATGCAATGAGGACATCCATTGCTCCAGAATAACATTTTCTCTATTCTGCTTTGTTGCCACAAGACCTTACACACACACATGCACGCACACACATGGATGCATGCACACACACATACACATTTAACAGAGAGAGATATAGATAGATAGACAGACATAGAGAGAGAGAGGAGATAGAGATTACATACCATCCAAATACCAAACGGTTTAGACGAGCTGGTGCATATTCCTTAGAAGCGCGCGCGCGCGCGCACGCACACACACACACACACACACACACACACATAGAGACTACATACTATCCAAATACCAAATCATTTGATATGGTTTAGACCACCCGGTGCATATTTCCGTAGAAGTGCTTGTCAAAACAAAAGCTTTTCTAATGCTTTAATTTTTTTTTTTTTGAAGATACTCTTCTAATACATATTTTAATCAGGTGGCCTGTTCAAAGGGAAATCTTAAAATCCAGCTTAAGGCAAAAGAAAAGGTTGAGACAGTATCCAGTCAGAAATCTCGTGTGGATATGAAGACTCACTGCATTAGACATGCTGTCCACAAGATGTTCATCATTCTGTAAAAGATGCTTTATATGAGAAGTTTTTTGAGTGCATGATAGTATTGTGCATTAGTTTATGACTATTCCACTCACTAAGGAAGTATTATATATTTTGCATTTAAATCATACCAGTGTAAGTGTCGCGTGACACATAAGGCAAACTGAAGAGCCTATGAAACACTGTGTAAATCAAATTTAACACAAAACATGTCCCATGTATAGCAGCCATGTGAAAAGGACATTCAAAAGATGGTTTAGATAATTAGATGGGTTCTTTTTATTGAAATTTTCACAAGAAATGTGGGATAC